AGGCAAGAGTAGAGAGAAATTGATAGCAAGAAAGACAATTATCAAAGTAGGCAAGAGTAGGGAGGAATTGATAGCAAGAAAGACAATTACCAAAGTAGGCAAGAGTAGGGAGGAATTGATAGCAAGAAAGACAATTATCAAAGTAGGCAAGAGTAAGGAGGAATTGATATAGCAATGACGAAAGACAGTTAACTGTAACTTCCGCATGAAATCGCAAACTTGCATGTTGTTCTGTTACAGCTATATGCACACACGAGTGTCAAAACGGAGGTCGTTGTGTGGGACCAAACCATTGCCAGTGTCAGATCGGTTGGTCCGGACCCACCTGCGCTAAAGGTGCGTTGATTGCCTTTTCATACAGGACCTCTAAAGATCCATCGCCTACTGAACCACAAAAACAACACTCTCGATATTAAAAATGGCGACTTTCACTGGTTATTATCCAGAATGCTCTCTGGCCATCGATATCCATGACATAACTGACTATGAGGTTATAAACCTTACTTGACAAGTTATAGATCTGAAGCCATACAGAGAGCGGTTAATACGGACATTATTATCACGCGAAATTTAATCAAATCGTTATCACGATCACATACTTGGCCCTGGATTATGTAATACTTGAATCACGTACTATATATCGTGACTAGCGCTCTACCATGATCTAGATTAGCTGTAAAATATATTGGCACGCATAAAGCGGCGACGAACAGCCGTGTAGCGAGCCGTCACGGATGTTTACGATTATATCTGTAATCATTATCATCACTAATTCGCTATTCGATTCCCATCAGGTCTATTTATCACGCGCTGACCTTAATGCTAATTATCATGCATCTCTACAAATCAGATATAGACGAGTGTGAGGATGCTCAGATTCACCGCTGTCATAACAACTCCGTGTGTAAGAACACTCCAGGCTGGTACGACTGCATCTGCAGGGATGGCTTCAGGAGTCGCTGGCACAGCAACGAGTACGGCGTACTCTGCGAAGGTGACTCTTTAGTTAGGTTTCGTCATCGTGTCATCATCGCTGTTCGATACGTTAAGTAAAAACATCGATATATTGATTCTAAACTTAATGCATCGATTACAGCTTCGATCAAATGACAGTTTTTATACATAATATCAATAGCGTATTAAGTATGCTTACGCTCTTGATAATATCGAAGTTATACGATTCCCAGTTAGAATAAAGGTTAGCTGATAATTTAAAAGGTGGTTTTATAGCTAGAAAAAACTCACTCGGTCACACTGTGACGTCATAATTGGAACATTGCGAACATCTCCTCCGTTCTATTCAGATATAAATGAATGCGTGAATGGACTGGATACGTGCGACAGCTCGGCCGAGTGTGTGAACCTCGAGGGCGGATACATGTGCCAATGCATGGACGACGAGGACTGTTCCCGGGGTTAGTGCGAACTACTATAGGCGCACATACACGCCTATATTGAGTATCCACCAACGCACTTAGACATGTTATACACACAGACACATATACACGCCTTACGCTATCAACGCACTTAGATAAAGGAATACGCAAAAACTAAGAAGATGTAAAAGAAATATAAGCACACTTGGAAAATGTTAAAACTACTAATGGCTGCTACTATGTGTAGGTGCATAGTATCAGGAGTGAATAATATAACAGATCTGTGAATTTACACTCACATATTAGAACAATCTACCTATCAGACGACGGACGACAGTTAAGTACTACGTCACACACACGTCATCATTGAAGGTCACAATTAAATGTCACGAAAGTCATTCCTGAACATTTAACTAAATTTCTTAATAATTAATAATTAATAAAGTTTTTGAAACCGCTTTTCTAATTATTGTCGTGATACCAGAAAAGCATCAGCCTATCTAATATTTTTTTTGCATCATAAAACACCAGAAATTACCTCTCGGGGTTGCAAATCATTATCAAGACAGCAGAAAAGTACATTTAATCAGGTTCGTGCTAAGATCCGAATAACAACCTTCGTAATTAAATTTTCGTAAGTGCCTTTTACTTTAATATGAATTTTTCATGCTCACAGATTGCGTGATTGGTAATATGAGGCATCATAATGGCGCTCGATGGCGCATGCCGGAGCTATGCCGAACCTGCGTGTGTACAGTAAGTCTCATACCATTATAGCCATGTATACGCATCATTTTAAATTAATATAATTTAAATATAATGGCTCTCTCTCTCTCTCTTATAATATCTGTTGGGGAATGAAAAATTGAATTATCAAAACAGCGGCTAACTTATTTTTCGTTTAATCACAAATTATAGAGGCATCATAGCTAAATGAAAAATTCGCATAGATAATTATCGAATATGATAGAATTTTTTTAATTGTTACGGATAGTAACAAAGTTTCTGCTATATATGAATATTGTTTAATCAAATAAAAAATTAACATAGATAATTATCGTTATAGTAATCTATAGTAAAACTAGCGATTTCTATAAGAAAGTATAGTAATCTATAGTAAAACTAGCGATTTCTATAAAAAAGTATAGTAATCTATAGTAAAACTAGCGATTTCTATAAGAAAGTATGGCAATTAAAAGTAAAGCTAGCTAACTATAGGCATTAGGTCTAGTTACTATATATAGCAACGACGAGTGCTAGCTAAAATTATATAACTATATATAGGCGTGTTCGGACGCAGTGACACAGCGGATTCCTGACGTCCTAGTGCGCGTGCAAATAGCAGGGGGGACGTGTGGCAACGACCACTTATATAGCCCTCCTACTGCTCCAATCATGAAGCATGCAAACATAATTGACCTTTATCAGAAGAAAGTTTATGGATTATCGCTTACTCAGCTCATTATATACGCAAATCGACGCCTGCTATTAAATATAAACGCGATTAAATCCGATGCAAACAAAATGCGTGTAAATGAAAGCACGATGGTCTTTAATATTGATGTGATTTGTTGCTTATTGTTTTGGCACGTAAATTAAATCCGGGGAAAGCTGCATGATTAGAAAGCGCAGTAAACATTGTGTGCTGCCGTCATTGCATGTACCCAGGCACACGCACGCACGCAAGCGCAGACATATAATACATAAAAAACAAAAAAGCACGTATGCACGCAAGCGCACAAGCACGTACGCATGTGAACTCGAATGCGCGTATGCACACGCACTTTTCTCTCGTGAACGCGTTACGCAGATAACTACAGAAATGCATACGTAAATACGAAATACACAAATTGTAATTAAATTACTAATAAATTTCTCCCAATGCTTGGGTAGTCATGCAGACTCAATTATTCGTTATCAAAATAATCATAGACTATTACTCTCTATCACGAATCTGACATCGCGCAAGCAGACAATCGATGTCCACGACCATTACTACACCAGCAAATTGACTTGTTATTTTCATCACATTGATGCATCACGCTAATTTCATAAGTGACATGCCCAGCGGCT